CGTATCTTGAGGTTGTTTTATGACAATAAAAAAAGTTAAATAAACATTATTATTGTGATTATTAGTAATTGCTAAGGATACATCATGTTGACTATGCTAGTATGTTTTTTCCTTGACCAAAAGTTTGGATCGTTTGAAACCTGACTTTGGTATGGTGAAATTTACTTTACCGTATTTGACATGACTAGAGTACAAAAAAAAAATGTACACATACATACATATAATGTAAATTGACCGCTATACCCTTCCACAAGAAAAAGAGAAATTAATTTATTTACAAAAGAGATTCTCTGTCTCTCTCTCCCCTTTCAAAGAAAGAATCAAACAGAGGCACAAGCAGAAAGCACAAAGGCACGAGCACCTTTGTTAGGCAAAAACCTCCCATGTTCCTTTCTCTCTCTCCAATATAAAGCTCCATTCTTGACAACCTATACACACAAAGCATCTGTTTTAGTTTTTCCTCTTCTTTCTCTGACCCTGTAACCAAGATTTGTTCATATAAATTAAAAAAAAGGAAAAAGAGAAAAAAAACAGCTAAAAATGGTGAAATACCAAAGAAAAAACCTGTATTTACAGTGGAAGAAGAACAAAGAGCACCTTGTTGATGAAGATGAAGAATCTGGGACTGGCCCTTTTGGGTTAATCTGCAAAAGCTCTGTTTTTAGCAGGAAAATAGCAAAGCCCCAGTTTTTTTATCTTGGTTGTCTCTCTCTGGCCTGTTGCTGCTTGTTCTTGGCATCCATGCTTTGTAAGTTCCCCCTTTTTCTCTTTGTTTTTTCTTGTCACATGTTCAAGTTTCTTAATTTGTGGAAGTTTAATTGTTTACTTTATATGATTTTGATTTTTTATTTTTTGTTTATGTTTTGTAGATTCTTTTGGGGTTAGTGGAGATTGCTTTGGTGCTGAGGCTGGTGAGAACGGTTTGCTCTGTTCATCTGTTCCTAATGGTAAATTGGCTCTTGCTCTGTTCAAAATCTTCGTTTTCTTTTTCTTTTCTTTTTTTTTTTCATAAAAATGGTATCTTTTCTATTTCTATGTTTTGGGTTTTAT